CATGCCACCTTGCATGTGACTTTTTCTTAAAGAATTGGCTTAAATAAATAAAAGGTGTCTAACGTATATCCGTTTTTTCAGTTCAGTGTCTAACGTTTTTTTATTTCAATTTTGTGCCTAATATTTTATTCTGTAACTCAAAATGGGTCACCCTAACGACCTCAGCAATGACTGTCGACCCAACCCCGACACTTCAATCGCCTTATTTGACCGTCGTCGCGTCTTAATCGCAAGGAGAGCTTTCTTTTTTTGAAATGGTTTCATTTCATTTTATCAGTATTGGAATTGGTTCGCTTCATTTTGTTGAAATTTATTTTGCTTTATATGCTTTTGTTTTAATTGATAGCTTTCTTAGGGGATTTCTTGAAGATTTCATTGATAGCTTTCCTAGAGGATTTCTTGAAGATTTCATTGGAAATTGAAAATTGACTTTGCTTTATTTTGTTCAAAACTGGCTACTTTTGCTATCGGAACATGTAGCTATGACCTCCATGTTCCGAAAAATCTAAAAGGACCATGTTCGGATACATTCCTATATCCTGTCGCAATCGAGTCCAAGGAACTTAGTGTGGAAAGGATAATTTGTTTACTTAATTTGGATGTTTCTCGTAAAGGTCTTGATTTGTGGATTATCTTTTCTCTTCTCTTGGTTTCAAATGGATGATTAAGTCTTTAACTCTGTTATAAAACCTTGTTGTTTATGGTTCATCAATGGTCTTTTTATTTACTACTTCAAATGGTTCTTTGTATCATATGTTTGGAGTATAGCATTAAGAAGCATATAGTCTGAAATTCTACGAGACTCGGACTCAAGTCTGAGTGTTGAACACATCCGTGTACGAGAAGGGGATTTTCGTTTTCTAAAGGTTTTCATGTATTTGGGGGTTCGAGTGTTGGACATTGTTGTTTCTATTAAACTAGGAGCAAATATAGCTGCATTATACCCCTTTATTTGATTTGAAAACCTTTAATGTTCCTCTTTATCTTTTATAAAGTTAAATCATCTTATGCATTACTCACATCGTTTCATTTCATTTTCTTAATCCGATTTCCAGTTATTTTTATTGTATTATTTTTCAATGCAGATTGACGATTCGCAGCCGAAAACTCTCCTTGCGATTAAGATACGACGACGGCTAAATAAGACGATTAGAGTGCGGGGTTGTGAATTGCCTATAGCTCTACTATCATATTTTATTGAATTGCTAATCTCTGGAGAATATCCAAGAAAACCTCAAGGCTTACATCGTCTGTAAAGATTATGTCTCCTCCTGGGCGAGGACCATCTGAATTATATGTCGCTAAAGGATTCAACTTTGCAAGAAGAAAATTGGCCTGACAACAAAACATATTTAACAACTATGCAAGAGGAGAAGAAGAAGCTAAGATTAAGCGGAATGTTATTCACTCTCCTTTTTCCTCCATTCTTTTTTGCACTATGATTCAACATGCATATAGAATATTCCATCCACCCATCATCTTCGGTTTCTTTAGCATTTATACCAACAATTATTGTCACAAAAAATACTTTCTGGTGGGCAAGGAATTTAAAATGTAAACGAGGGGGAGCAGTACTTTTGTTTCAAAGCTAAAACCCTTTCACCTCATTTCAAAAACTCAAAAAAAGGTAACATTTTTACTTGATTTATCTTTTCATTTGTTTTCATTTTCATTTTCATTTTTAATATGTTTTAGATGCGGGTGTGGATTGCTACAGATTAAGATTAAGAGACGAATATGCAGGAGTCACCAGTCGTTGTTGAGGCCGTTAGCGATGACAGGGCACCTCCACAACGGTCGGAGACGCCTGATCGGAGGGCGAAGAGCTTCGCCCTTTTGGGGATACACACATAGAAAATGGGGGGGGGGGTTTGGGTAATTGGTTTCCCCCATTAAAACGTTTGTTTTTTTCATTTTAATTCATTTTTATTTGCAAAATTATTTTTAATATTAAAAAATATGCCACGTGGCATTTTTAATGGGTTAACGGTCAAAATTAACGGTCTGTCACGGCGTGATTCATTTCGAGTTACAGAATAAATGTTAGACACCAAACTGAAACGAAAAAACGTTAGGCATTGAACAGGAAAACGAGCATACGTTGGACACCTTTTGTATATTTAACCTAAAGAATTCTATGAATTATCTTCTTAAAAACATATCCGAAATTTACGTTCAAACCATGTATACATTTTAAGGCTCAATTGAAAATAAATATCTAGATTATACAGGATTTTTTTTGAAACAATTATTTTAAATATCTAATATTTTTCTATCAAAATATGTATTTAACATCTCATTTTGTTACTATTTTAAAATATCCATAAAAAATAAGTAATAAATACAAGACAGTGACCTAATTTTTATTTTTCTTTATTTTTCTCTTAAAAATCTAAAATCTTTAATTTTCTAAAACCTATAAATCTCTGATTTAAAAAAAAACCCTAAAACCCCTACTCTTTAACTAATAAATCCTTGTCATTGTCGTTAATGAATCAATTATTATCACACACCCCTTATGCTATTGAACTACCATTGGTCAATCACTCACTGACCAACACACGAAATTCCTAAATTTTATCCGCGTCGAAATTGAAGGTTTTGAGGTGTTTTATGAAAAATAAGAAAAGTTTAGGTTTTTTTAATAAAAATTATAAAATTAAAGGAAATATAAAATCAAGTCACGTGTCAAATATTGATTGATTGATTAGTTTTTAACAAATTTTTTTAATGATATTTACGGCGTATATACCTAAATGATAACATTAGAAACGTTAAACGCATAAATTGATAAAAAAAATTAAACGTCTATTGAAAAAATAGATATAGTTTGGACATATTTTTTTCATATTAAGCTTATAATAAAACATTAAATAGTTATTTTAATATAAAAAATTAGACAATTATGATAAAATATTATAATTTAATTATTTATTTATATATTAAATCTTAAAATAAAGAGAAGAAAGAAAAACATAGGAACGATTATCTTTCTTTTTTCTGAATCTTGACAAAACAAATTTGATTTGCAAAAAGCGACAAAACCCATGTCTGGAGTCCGTCTCTTTAAATTCTTGGCTACTGGTTATGGAAGGAAACTAAGCATATTCTATTGAACTAATTTGAGTTTTGTATTAAAAGTTCATTGGCTGTTTCTGCCAATCTTTTCTTTGCATTCCAATCTTTGAAAAAGCAGTTGTTATCCAATGATATTATTATCACTTCGATTGGAAGATCAAAATGTATTGTCATGGTGAATTTATTGAGTGATTTTGATTAATAAAAAGGAGTATTATTTTTTTGAAGTCCTGAATTGATGTGTACGTTATCAATAGTCAAATAGATTATGAACATATATTATAATCTAATTATTTTAAACTACTAAAAAATTGATGTTAAAGGTGAAGTAAATCAATTTGGTATAGAATTTTGGATACCGCGGTGGTTAAGATCCTGGGACTAGGAGGGCTGGCCTGACCTTACCAGCTGAATGATCTCTTTTGAGTGGTCAAATATTAATGATTCTATATATGTTAATTTCTAAAAAAGAATGTTCCATTTTCATATCCTTTGAAAGTGCTGCATGACAAAATAAGTACGGGAAGAGTTCAGAGCACGTTACCAAGACGATCAGTTTGAAACAAATGGATTTAAGGAATGATTAAACCAACAAAACCAACGGGGATCAAATATATTTGGGCATTTTATTTTCTGCTGCTATTTGAAGCCTATGGAAGAATAGAAATGATTTCGGTGTTCACAAACAAGAGAACAATCCCAAATCAGGTGACGAGTTATGTCCACAAGTTGGCAAGGGATACAACGACTGCAATGGAGACAGAGATAAAGCTGGTCGTAGAGATGAATGCGAATAAATGGTGAACAGGGAGGAACATTAGGAAACGTTTTAGTAAACGGTTGTGACAAATTTTTAAAGGAAGTTGGATGAACGAGATTAGGCACATTTAGTGAGAAGGCAACAAATGTACTGATTGATTGATTAATATGGGACTCGACTAACGGATCCTCCAAACAAATTAATCCCTTTAATACCGACTAATGCCGGAGGAGAGGGAACATTAAGAATGTAATCTAAAACTATTAGTCTCTTAACTCTAACCCTAAATCCCGAGCCTTAAGTCATAAAATCAAATCCTTAAATAATAAAATCCTAAATCTTCAAATTCTAAACATTAAAACCCTAAACCTTGAATAATACACATAAACCTAAATAGACAATACATATATCATATAAGTTTTCCTCATGATATTCGCACAGGTCTCAATTTATAAACTTTCTATAATACTACTCATAAATGAAGAATTAAATGTTATATAACTAACGAACTTAGAGAATTTATTTCTCATAAAGTCTTCAGTTGGTTACTTGGGAGTTAAGAACACGCAAATCCTTTATAACAAACCTCGCATATATATTTCTCAGATTCTTACATTCCAGACGCTACAAATAAAAGAACTTCAGGTTCTGTACAGGAGTAGACAAACATTTTTACAGCTAAAATTCGTCCATGTTTTTGACTGTCTACAGCTAAAAAAGCCACTAACCAATGCAGCCAAAAGTTTCTGACCTTGTTTTCTGAGCTCCAACAAAATACTAAATATATTTAAGCCCAACTGGTTCGAAATCTACTTTAAGAGTTGACAATGGCACATAGTAGATTCGGGAATTGAACTCTAACTAGAAAGCTTATTTGTCCATCACCAGGTATGAGACAAAAAGGCATCATCGAAGACAGCTTAGAGATTACAGTAAACAAAGAGAATGGAAGCTCTGAATTTGCTTAATAAAGCCTTTCGACAGTCCCTTTCAAGTGCATAGTTTTCGACGATGCATTTGCTTTGTAACCACCGGATTCCTTGAATTTAGCAATCATCTTAGTACTTGTTTCTTTAGATAATCTCTCGGACATTATTAAACGTTGTTCTAAAAACATTGTAAGATTCAGTTGGCTTAGAGTTTTGGTTTCAGTTTTGGAGAAATGGAGAACTTATCAAGAAGCAACAAGAAAGCTTCTCAGCCTCATTCATCGGCTCCGTCGAAGCTAAAGCGAAGTGGTTATGAGCCATCGGATACAGAGGTCGAATGGCATGAAAGTCCGTGGGACGATCATTATAACCAAAACAGCGGAACATCTGATCTTGGCGAGGCAGGCAAAATTAAGTCCAATTTGCCGAGAAACATTAGCCCTGCGAAACTCAGCCGAAGACAACCTTCAAAGATTGAATATGATAAAGGGTCTCCACCTAGAAAAATTCCCCTCCCAAGGAGACATGCCAACAAGTCTCCTTACAAGACGAGGAGAGATGACAGCCGGAACATAAGCCCCTTGCCGAAATCCGAATATCGACGGCATGTCTCTCCTTATAAACCCGGGAGAGTGGAGCATGCATTGAATGATGAAAAGGGAAATGGCGCGATTACTGGCTTGAACAGGAAGCAAAGTCGTGGAAGTCCAACAGGAGATGAAATAAAAACGATTGGGCAGCTTGTTGGGGCTGGAAGAGGGAGTGAAGATTTGAAATATAGTCATCGATCAACAAGTGCACCACCGAGACAAAGAGGGGAAAGGACACCGTCCCCAATCGGAAAGAACATTATTCATAAGATAAGAGAAGCTCCCCCAGTGAAACAACCATCGGTAGGTGAAATCAATGAAATGGTTGCAAATGCAAAGATTTCTAAAAGTCCTATATATACTGCTCCTACGTACGAAAGCACAGAGTCCATTTCACCTGGTGATATATTCTTTTCTCGTGATGCTGCGGCCTTGGCAAAGCAAAAGAAAGATAATCCTCCCCATCAACGATCGATAGCGAACCGAAATGTCAATCTAAAAGCTCGAGGATCGTCATCCAGCACTGGTTTATCAAGAACAACTGTGACTCAAAGTTCAGCTACTAGCAGACAGAGTAGTAGTAAGCTCAGTGTTGAAAATAGCAAGATAAGTGATGGTAGTGAGAGTAGTTTAAACTCAGTCAAGTTCGCCGCCAAAATGCTAAAGAGCCAAAGCGAAACCTGGTTTGCGTGTGTGATGAGAGGAGGATCCTGCAGAACCTCAAAGAAATCACCCAAAAGAGAAAAAACCTTCGATGAGGCCTCGTTCATCGGGAAGGCATTCGTTGTTGAAAAACTGAGGAAATTTTGGGCTGATCAATACCAACCAACTTCTTTGAATGGATTCACCTGTCACAAACAAGAAGCTCAGCTTCTGAAGCAACTTGTAAGTCCGCCTAAAAGTTATTTTTGTTCCTTAATTTTCGATCCAATAATGTTTAGTTCGCAATGCAAGTAATTCGGAAGATGGAAAAAATTATTTTCTACTGTAAACTTTTAGGTATCTCATCAGAGTTGTCTCATATATTGTTCAAAGGACCATCTGGTTCTGGGAAAAGAGCACTAACAATGGCTTTCCTACGTGAAATATACGGAGACCCTAGCTGGAATGTACGTTTTTTTCCAACACAAAACGATACCGGATTCTTTCGCAGATTTGGAAGTTCGTTAGATGCCTAAGCTAACTCTAGCTTCTTCTTTTTTCCCCTTTTCATTACAGGTATCTCATGAATTGAGACAATTCCACGTTCAGGTAGAAAATACTAAATAAAGCCTCAAAGTTAATGAATACTAAGTCAAGCCTAAAGATGACCATCACCATTGATTTTAGAATTTGACACCTTGTGATATGAATATGTTGATAGGAAAAAAGGGCAATGCAAGTTATTATCCCAATTGCTTCAAGTGCTCATCATGTTGAGCTTAATGTGACCAAGGAAACAAATGCTAAATATGCATTAATGGGATTAGTTAAGGAAATAAGCACCAATTATACAACTACCCCAGAAGTCAGCAATGATAATTTCAAGACAAACTACAAAGGTTTTGTGTTTTTTTCTTAGTTTTCTTCCATATGCATAATCAAACCTCCTTTTGATAGTTTAAAGTAATCAACTTAAAGCTAATAAGGTTCAATGTTTATTTCAGTTCTGGTTCTTTATGATGTTGACAAGGCACCAGACAATATTCGTCACTTGATCAAATGGATCATGGACTGTCATTCGGATTCATGTAAATTCATTATTTGCTGTGAAGATGATGTAAATATCTTAGAATCGGTAACGAGTCGCTGCAGAGTCATTAAAGTCAATGCTCCGGTAACTCATGAGGTAAGTATCCCTATAAGTTCTGCAGTTAATTAAATTCTTATAGCTAAGTTCAGGCATATGAAATGTTGTGTATGGGGTTGATCAGATAAGAACATGCCTTACTAAGTGCTTTAAATCTAATTGAGTCATCGTTAAAATTGCTGATTTCGCAGATCATGGAGGTATTAATTCAGATTGCAAGGAAAGAAGACTTTGAGCTATCTATGAACTTTGCTGCTAAGATTGCTGCCAAATCAAAGCAAAACCTGAGGAAAGCAATCATGGCTCTTGAAGCCTGCAAAGCACACAAGTAAGAACTTAGCAAATCCTGACTAGATTCTAGGTTTCCAATAAATAGACAGAAGTAATCCATTTTACCCATGTAAGGCTCCATATTTTTTTATTACGTGTGAATGGTATACTCTGCCATTGCAGCTATCCTTTTGCCGATGACCAGCCTATTCCACTTGGATGGGAAGAGGTCGTGAAGGAACTTGCAACCGAAATCCTGGCCGATCCATCGCATAAAAGGCAAGTTTTTTTTAGCTTTTATATTTTGAAATATTATCTTGGCTTTTAAAGAAAAGAAAAAAAAAACAGCAGTGACACTCCATATTATCGTCAGCTTACCTTCTGGAAGGACAAAGCTTCAAAAGCTTCTTGGGGCTTTTGTTCATCCTAAACTGATCCTTCAGGTGATGAATTTGAAACCATTAAATGGGGGGAAAAGTTGCTAAGAATTCTAATTTTTTGCTCTGATATAGTTGTTTTCTTCCAAGCCGCAGAAACTGGTAGAAGAGTTTTTAAAGAAAGTTGAAGCCGATTTAAAAAGAGAACTTTATTACTGGCATGCTTACTACGTAAGTTTAGTTCCTGAAATTGTCGCATTGTTTTGCAGACAAGCAAAAGTAACTTAAAGTTTATTTGTTCCAGGAAAAGAGACTCCCAGCGGGAACAAGTGCTTTGTTGAAATTAGAAGGTGAACTTTGTCATTTCTTATGATGCTTTCTTTCTTTTTTCATCGCCTTAAATTCTGAGAAGAATCCTCTGTTTATGCTCCTTTTTCTTTTTCTCCTGGCAGAGTTCGTGGCCAAGTTTATAGGCATACATAGGAAGAGTTCTGCCAATGGTCAGTGTGTGTAACATTGGGGCTAACTATGCCTTTGTTCAAATCATTTTGTTGCAATTAGTAAATACTGAAAATCTTTGTTCTCGTAGAAATATGTTATCCGTTGGATAAGATAAGAACGATCGAGCTCAAATATGATATATATGTTACAAACTCGAGTTTATGTCCGACACAAATATGATGAAAGTGTGAATAACATAGTAGATGATGGTGGCAATCAAGTCTCATTAAGATTTCCACCCAAACCCAAACTTTGTGCACAAGGAAAGAAAAGTATAGGTACAAGTGGTTAACTAAAACCTTCATGTTGGCTATATATGTTTTGCCTAGTTTCACCACATATCAGTAAGTAGTACAACTGGTCAACTACATACATGAGAACCCCGAACTAAAACCTTAGCAATCTATCCAGACAGTTTCTAAACTCCAATACATGCATGTTCTATTTTTGCTTTTGTTATCCAAAGTTTTCCCTTCTATGATCAGTGATCACCCTTCAGTTTCTTGTGTACCACTACTACTTGCAGACTTCTTATTGGTATACCTCTGCCAATACGGATAGATGTTATACTATAAGTTCCAAGAAGAATGGAAAACTGAAACCGAACGCAAGGCAATAATTGAAGTTAGTCGGTTAATACCTGTTTTCCGATATCGAAGGGCACATATTTGTATTTGATCATGTGCAGAATCTGGCGTTTCATTGTGAGGAAAAAGAGAAATATCCAGTAGCACAACAATATTGGCCAGAAAACAGGTACATCCAACATGGAGAAGAAAGTCAATACAAATGCAACTACAAAGGCCTTTGTGATGGCATACCTGAGACCAAAATTAAAAATTAGCGTAAAAATACTACAAAAAAAAACAGTGTACAAGCAAAAAGAATAGAAATCGGAAAACTTTAAAACTTACGTAAATGGAATAAATCAAATCAATCCACAAGCAAAACAGCTAATTTGTTCACGTCTATACACAAAACAGCTAATTTCACCTCTAACTGATATAGTAAAATTTCCAATTAGCAGCGTCCAAATTTCGAAACATAATGCTGATTTATCATGTCAAAATGGGAATTTTCTAATATAATCTTAGTTGGGCAAGAAAACAGCAAAACAAGGAATTACCAGAACTTGAACTCAGGTAAGCGACGAATAAAGGGCTTGAATTCATCAGAACCTTTGGTTGGCAACGAAGCACCATCCAAAGCTTCAAGCTCGGGATCAACTTTGGGAGATAAAAATCCAATCAAGAGGTTCAATACGTAAATCCCTAAACCGTATGAAATTACGTAAAACCCTTGAACGTAGTAAACCCGTAAAACGTAGATCATCGCCACCGCCAACGTCCCTAGCCACCTTTCTATCGTATGCGGCGTTGACCTATCGAGGTAATACTGGAATGTCCTAGAGAAGTCGTTCTTCCACTTCGCAATCGGCGTAACACCGCCGTCACTTTCCGACCCCTCCATAACAAAAGACACAAAAGTTAGTGGTCTGAAGGTAGAAAGTTTTGAGTCTTTGAGAGTTACGTATGTTATGGTTTCGAGTTGAAATCGGGCAAGTATTTTTCAGCAAGACTTTTCTGGATTCTCTGGTTTTTCCATCATCTTTCAAATAAGGTTCTTAACCCTTGAGGTACATATGGTAACAAGGCCATTTTTTTTCTTTCAAATAACTGTGAAAAAGGGTTCCCAAATTTCTGTATGAATAAAGTTAGGAGCTACGTGACAAACTGACAATCAAAGAGAGACCAAAATCGTGTGGTTTTGGGCCTTGTGGCCTTTCCTTGGGGGCCGTGCAAAGTTTGTAATCAAACCTCTTTTGCCCAACGTTCTACCGATCCGTCTCGCCTAATAACCCATTTTCTTATTTAAAAAATATTTAAAGCTTCATTTTATATTAATAATCATATTTAAAATATGATTATTATTAGATAAAAATAAATAAAAGATAGACTACTATATTTTATCACCCAACAATGAAATAATTAATATTATTATGATTGAGCATTTATTTTCTAAAAGGATTTACGAAAGAGTCTTAACCTTTTTATGTAAAAAACCTTGATTTTCTAAATTCTCTTTTATTGTCTGACTATGAAATATTTTCTTTTAAATCTCAGCAATGTGAAGACTAAGAAGGAAGAGATATGTTATATATCATTATCATGCTTTTACGCTAGTCGAACGATGAAGATTACATATCAGAATCATTTTCCTTTAATTTTTTGATCGAGTTTTAAAGATATTTTAGAAAAATATAAACCAATAAATGGTAAGAAAGACCTATTTACACAAATATTAGCATTTAAAAATTTATTTCTTAGATCAAATGGGGCGTATAGGGGGAGGGCTCGACAAAGTGGTGACAATGAGACTAGACTTAGAGTTTGCTCGTTGAATGTTGGCTCATTAAATGCCAGGCTGCTGGAGCTGACCGACGTACTTAATAATAGAAAAATAGATTTTGTGTGTATACAGGAGACTAGGTGGAAAGGGGCTCGCGCCAGAGAGTGTAATGGGTACAAGTTGTGGTATCAGGCGTAGATAACGCTAGAAATGGGGTGGGTATCTTGGTATCCTCTAGACTCAAGGAAAATGTAGTTGAAGTTTATAGATACCGGATAGGATCATGATGATTAAGGTTATTATAGAAGCGGAAGTAGTGAATGTCTTTTCAGTGTACGCCCCACACGTTGGCCTAGGGGAGGGGAGAAACGTTGCTTCTGGGATCAGTTAGATGATGTACTTAGGAGCATTCCGGAGGACTAAAGAGTTTTCATAGGGGGAGACTTTAATGGCCATATAGGTAGTGCAACCGACGGGTATGACGGTGTTCATGGGGGTTTCGGTTATGGTAGCAGGAACGATGAGGGGCGTACGTTGCTTGAATTTGCTGTGCACACGATTTGGTGGTCACTAACTCCTTCTTTAATAAGAGAGATGCGAACTTGATTACGTTTCATAGCGGGGGACATTGTACCCAAATCGACTACATCCTGGTTCGAAATTGGGATCGATGGGCTTGCATTGACTGTAAGGTGTTCCTTGAAGAGGCATGTGCATCACAACACAAATTGTTGGTTTTGGTGTTCCTCGTACCCCACGGGTGGAGCACTCATAGGAGGGCTAAACTTGGTAAACCTAGGATCCTTTGGAAGAACTTACATGAAGCGACAACTGATGAATTTAGGAGTAAGCTTTTGTCTAATACATGGTTTTGGAACTACAAACTCAAATAATGCAGATTTGTTATGGAAAAATATGGCAAATTCCATCAGAGAGGTGGGCAAAAACACCCTGAGGTTGTCGACAGGGAAGCCCAAGGAACATAAAGAATCGTGGTGGTGGAACGACGAAGTTCAAACTAAGGTGAAGACAAAGCAAACTTGCTTCAAGGAGTTTCTACAATGCAATGACGACGCAGAAAGGTCGATAGCTAAACAAAGATACAAGGAGGCAAAGCGGGAAGCCAAGAAAACGGTGGCTAAATAAAAGGATAAGGCATACGAGGAAATGTACAAGAGATTAGACACCAAGGAATGACAAAATGGCATCTTCAGGCTTGCAAAATCTAGGGAGAATAGGAAAAATGATCTACGTAGCATTAGGTTTATTAAGGACAACAATGGTGTTCTTTTAGCGAAAGATAATGATATTAAGAGGGTTTGGGTAGTTACTTATTTGGCTTATTTAATAACGGTGCCTCTCCCTGTAAAGATAGTACCGTGGATGGGTCAGCCGACCATCATACTACGGCCAATGATTGCCCTACAAGTAGGATTGGGTTTGAGGAAGTCAAAATGGCCCTTAGAAAGATGGGAAGGGACAAAGCTGTCGGTCTTGATCAAATTCCTATTACTGTGTGGTTGGCCCTAGGAGAAGAGGGAGTTAAGTGGTTGACCAACATCTTTAATATTATTTTAGAGACTTCCAAGATGCCAGAGGAGTGGAGAGAGTCTACGGTGATACCAATCTATAAGAATAAAGGAGATCCCCAACGTTGTGGTAACTACAGAGGTATTAAACTACTCAACCATACCATGAAGCTATGGGAAAGGGTGATAGAGGCAAGGTTGAGACAAGTTACTAGGGTTTCGGAAAACCAATTTGGCTTTATGCCAGGCAGGTCTACCACGGAGGCGATTTATCTACTTCGACGGCTTATGGAGAAATATAGGGAAAATTCTAGAGATCTTCACATGGCGTTCATTGACCTTGAGAAGGCTTATGATAGTGTTCACCGCGATACGATCTGGAAGACTTTGGAAACGAGACGGATCCCAACTGCTTATATCTGGGCGATTCGTGATATGTAATGTAGATCTACTACATTCGTCAGGACTACAGTTGGCGACACCGAGGCATTTCCGGTGGAAATCGGACTCCACCAGGGGTCAACCCTTAGCCCTTACATCTTCGCCTTGATTATGGACGACATCTTTTGTGCGACACCAGCCGATGTACCATGGTGTATGCTTTTCACTGACGAAATTGTCCTAGTTACTGAAACAAAATCTGAGTTGAATAGTAGACTGGCTACCTGGAAGACTACTTTGGAAGAAAAAGGTCTAAGGATCAATATTGAAAAGACAAAGTATTTATGTTCAAATTTTAGTGGGAACCAAAACGATGAAGATGTAGAAGTATGCATAGAATGACACGTTCTCCCCTCAAAGGATTGTTTCAAGTACCTAGGGTCTATGATACATAAAGATGGGGGTGTAGATGATGACGTTACACACCGTATAAAGGCGGGATGGCTAAAGCGAGGGCCGCTACTGGAGTTTTGTGTGACAAGAAGGTACCTCTAAAACTATGGTGGTTTGGGCATGTCCTTAGGCGACTACCGTCGGATGCGGTCAGAAGGGTAGAGTCGATTACAGTCGACGGTGCCAGAAGGAGATGACGACCAAGGCGGAAGTGGAAGACTGCTTGAGATCTGATTTGATGGATTTAGCCCTTACCAAGGACATGACCTCTGATAGGAAAGTATGAAGACTTAAGACTAGGGTAGTCGAGTAGTGTGGGTCACATCATTAGGGTGTATCATCTCTGTCTTCTTTTAATGCCTTTGTAGTAATTTCCATGACTTCTACTTTTTATACGTTTATGTTATTGGTATTTATGAAGGCTTAGAACTGGGCTTGCTATCGTTGGCTTCTGTGTATCATTCTCTTCATGTTTCCTCTTTTAAATTTAGCCGGTTCTAACTTTACTGTCTATATGCAGAGATGTTTTCGCAGGGTTTTATTTGTAGGGATTACTTCACATTAAAGACGCGCATAGGATATTAATGACTACATATGAATACTGTTCAACTATGTATTTATGTATTTATTTATATATGCATTACATTTTTTTCTATATTTTTTATTTTCTGACTGCCGGAGGTCTTCCACAGAAGCTACTCTCAACTTGGCGTTGGGGGCAGCCTACTACCCTACCTCCCCTTATCCCATTGCATATGAGAATTGAGTTTTGTTGTTGTTGTTGTTAAGATTAATTTTTAAAATGACACCCTATCTCGCACATAAGACAAAAACTTGTCCAAATAGTCGCACTTTTAAAAGCCATATTTGATTATGCATGCATTAGTCCTAGATAGTAATTCAATCAGTAAATCATAATGAAAAACACTCTTAATCAGTTGCGCCTTTCTATACTCTTAAAAAGTAAAACTACATAGATCAAAATTATAATTTGATTCTATTTGGTTCTATAAATTGAAAATTATATAGATATAACTGAAGTCAATAATATAAAATTCAAGAATTAAATAGTCTTTCTCTAATTTTTTATATGATCTTTACTTTTTTATATCTATATTGCATCATAATAAATTCTCGTCATACTCTATTATTGAATCTTACTCAATTAAAAAATATTTTTACATCAATTAAAATTAATTTTTTGACATAATATATATTTAAATATTTAATTTTATAAAATGACAGATTTTACTTAAATAAAATGTTTAATATAAAAAATCATTCAAATTATATATTTTTCTCATTTATGTGTCTAAATTATTTTTCTTTCGAGTCTCTTGAAGTTTTGCAAATGTCACGATTTTTTCATTCCGTTCATCGGATTTTAATTGTGATTGGGGTTCATCGGTGGTTGTTCGTCGGGCGGGTAGAGTGGTTGCTCGTCTGGTAGAGGCGCAGTCGGGGATAGATTCAGTTGACAACAACGACGGTGACAAAGGAAAGCGACTGGAGTTGGTATATGGATTGGAATTAAAGTTTTCAAATTTTATATTTTTTTAAAATTATAATTTTAAGTTTTGTATTTTAAATTAAATTTTAGTATTATATAAATATGACACATGTCACTAAACAAATTTTTTTAATAATCGTTACAGTCAGACACTTAAAATAGTAACGTTTATAACGTCAATCACCTAAATGAATCGAAAAATAATATAAACACTAAAAAAGAAAATTGTTTATATTAAGTCTAAATAAATCTTCCTTTAAGAATATTTAAATTAAAAGGAAAAAACAAACGTATAGCATTTCACATACAAAAAATAACTTCAGTGATCGAAAATACCTTATAATATACGATTTTAACCAATTTTTTTTGGATTTGTAAAAATTACCAACGAATTCGCAACGCGATTTCAAATTCGCA